AGATGTAGCAAGTGCTGCCAAAACAAGAGAAACTCACAAGAACATTGTAACTGTGGTGACCACTACCTTGTTTACCTCTGGCTATAAAATAAAGGCTCAGCTTGCCTCTGGATCTCTCTCTGTGGCCTCAGCCAGGCACAGGAAGATCCACCTAGACCCAGCTTATTCTCTTTGTCTATCATTTCTTCACCCTTTTGTCGCCCTCACTCAGGCTTTTGCACCCTTGGCTGAGCTGGCTCAGCACAGAATGCTTCATGAATTTGTGTGCCATCCTTGTAAGGGACCATGCTAGTCTTTTCTATCATTCCAATTTTAGTATATGTGCTTCTAAAGCGCGCACTGAATTATTTCTTAACCAAACTCAAGAACCAAGGTCCCACATTCACCACTACTACTGCCATTTTCCAAGGTAAAATACAGGAAGAGAAACGGGCTTGGGAGGGAAAACAATAAATCCATGTTCGACATGTGGGATTGGAGGTGCCTGTGAGATATCCACATGTAGATGAATAGATGGTTCTGGCACCCAGGAGACAGAGCTGGGCTGGAAATTATGCAAATTATTTCTGTCTCCATTTAATGAATTAAGAAATAGAATTTGGAGAAAGAACTTATTCAAACTTATATGGCAGAAAGGAGTAAATTCCAGTAGTGGATTCTGTCTGACACTATCCTGCCTGGGGAGAGGAAAGGAAACAGAAGACTTCCCCTGGGAGCTTGGGGGGAATTTAGGAGAGTTGGGGTTCTACTGGTTGTGCCACACCAGCATGGCCAAGGGTGAACCTGAGGAGGGGTGGTGAAGGATTGAAGAAAAGACAGACAAGAGAATACAGCTGGGGCTTGGTGGATCTCCCATGCCTGGATGAGGACACAAAAGACCCAGCCTACAAGCCCATGCTTTATTTTATAGTCAGATTAAAACAAGGGTAGATTAACATGTATACAAATGTTCTTGTTTTGGCAACACTTGCTGCACCTCCCACAGCCCATTAGCTACTTAGGATGGAATTAAGGAGGGCTACAAGGTCAGGCTTAATTATGCTAGGAGAGCTCTGCCCTCCAGGCTGGGTCTTGTTTGTGGCCCTGCCACAGGTCAGCCTGAGGCTTTATCCTAGAGCCGCTCCCTACATCTGGTGACTCCAGTGGTTTTAGGCACATCCAGACCTAAAGGAGCCCCTCTTTTTGAGCCCCATGTCCTCAAAGGCAGACTAGTGTGGTTGAAAAGGCACTGGCTCTGGAAATGTGTAACATGTGAGTAATTTATGTATAAGCTTAGGCAAGTCACTTTCTCTCTCAGTGCCTCAGTTTCCTGAACTATAAAAGGAGGTTAAACAAATAATCCTTAAGGTTTCTTATAATTCTGACACACAAGAATTAGTAATTCATTTCTTTAATTCTTTTATTTTTAATACAAGCCCAGGAACATTTCTTTTCTAAGTACTTTGTTTCTGAGTAATATTAATATCATTTTTATAGTGTTCATTGTAGAAAATTTGTCAAAAGGGAAAATCACAAAGAAGGGGGAAAAATCATTACAATATCACTAGTTAGAAACTAGTTGCTAATATTTTGCTGTAATTTCTACTAGTCTTTCTTTTACTGTGCAAATATACATACGTCTTTTCCTTTTTAAAGAAATTGGGTAATAATATCCACTACTAACTGAGCATCTATTACACATCAGGCTCAGAACCAAGTGCTCTGACTACATATGACCAATCCCTGCAGGGCATGTAGCAATGTCCCCATTTTACAGAAAAGAAAAGCAAAGGGGAAAAAATTCCAGAATTCCTACCCAACTAGCTTTCTAAGCTGCTTTATTTTGTGTGTAATTAATTCCTTTTTCACTTAATTCACCTTTAACATGTTCCCATTTTTCAAATACTTTTCTACCACATTATCTAAGTTGCTTCAAGATACTCAACACACAGTCCCTCACTGCTAGCATTGAAGATATTTTCCATTGTCACTGCCATGGACAATGCTATGATTATCTTCCTCCCATGTCATTCTTTCCACTCAGTCATAATTGTTTCCTTAGGGTAAATTCACAGAAGTCGAATATCTAGGTCAAAGGATATGTGCATTCTTAAAGCTATTAACAAATGGTATCAGGTTGCCTTCCCCCAAAATTGAACTATTCTTCACCCTTTAACAGTTTATAAATGTTACACTTACTTGTGACCTCATTAACATTGGGAATTACCTTATTTTTATTCATCTTTGCTGATTTTGTAAGTGAAATTTCTTGTCTATAAAGTTAAACTTCTTTCTAATGTCATGGATCATCACATGATTCATTCTAATAAAAATTTCTTATACAAATCCTTGGGAGATATGAGAGAAATAAAGTATTGGAATGAAAGAAAGAGAAAATTAATTTTATTCATTTAACAAAAACCAAGTACCTAATATACACAGAGTATGTTATAGCCCTGCAGGCATTAAAATTAGTAAGAGTGAACAAATATTGAGCACCTACTCTATGCTCAACAGCAGGCATCTTAAGTATCATGACAGAAAAAAAGGGGGGTGGGGGCGGGGAAGGTACAATATTTATCCTCCAAAAACTTGCAGTCTAGTTGGGGAGGGGAAAACCAATGCCAAGAAGGTGTTTTGAACTTAATTTCTCCCTTCCCTGTTCTTTCATGGAACTGCCTTTCTTATCTCCATTTTGGCTTTGTGAGTCAACCTTAAACATGCCTCTCTTCCAGGTCACCTGAGAGCCCCAAAGAACAGGATGGTGTC